CTGCCTTTTGGCCACTCCTCCTCCAGAAAAGAAAAAAGGCAGCATAACCATCGACCTTGCCAAGGCAAGGGTGCCCTTTGTGCAGTGTGTTTTGCGACCTATGTCTTCTGCATTCCTATGGCAATGTGGCCCTCGCAAAGGTCTTGTGTCCTCTCGCGTGACTCCCCCGATCAACCTCGACTGGTATCAATGAGAATAGAAAACACCACGGGATAGAAAACATGACTGGTACCTGGTAGCGGGGCAATAACATAAAACATGACGTTCTAACGGTTCCGAGCTGTTATCTGTTTGAAAAACACAGAATATCAGAAACATGAACTTTTGATGGTCCGCGCGCGTTTCTTGGATCTGTGCTGCCCCCCCCCTCCCTAGCGCGCGGACCGCAACATGGGCGGTGCTGGAGGCGCCGCCAGAGGGGGCCCAACACCGATCCAAGAAATCGCCGCGGAGCTCGGATAGGTTATGTACATGTAGTTCTTCGTCTTCGATCTGTGCGTATGTATGTATATGTATGTGTGTATATATGCTAGGGGCCGCTCCTGTGATCCACATTTTCTTGTCGTTTCATAGGTTGCCCTTTCTCGTTTCAACTGTGTTGCCCGCCTGTCTCTTAAATTCCTTATCCATTGTTAGAGTCATTATTTGAATGTTCGTCTTCATCGCAATGTGTTGTTTTTGTTCGTTCTCCTCGTTCGTTCTGGATCGCAGGAGTGGCCAGTGCATACGGATCACCACAGTGTTCCCGAATCCAGCGAAAACACTTGTGATGCATCGCATGGGTTTCTCGGAATCTTCTGGGCATTTGGGAGGTTTGAAGGTCTCATAGGGACAGGGGGGAAGGGGAGGGGGAGGAGGAGGATGAGGATGAGGAAGAGGGGGAGGAGTTTGAGCAGGAGGAGGACGACGAGCAGGAGGAGGAACAGAAGGAGGACGAGGATAGAGGAAGAAGAGGATGATGATGAGGATCGGATTTGTCACAGGGCTGTGTGAGCCCCGTCGAGCCCCGTTGCTGTGCCTGGGCTGTGGGTGGGGAGCCTCTTGGATAGATGTGGAGGTCTTTGGGGATGTCTCTCAAGGGCCTCGTGGAGGGCTTTTCGGGGCATCCGGGAGGCTTTTGATGGCCTCTTGGAGGCCTCTTGGGGACTTCGGGAGGGCGTCTTGGAGGCTTCTCGCATTGTTCGCGTCTACTTTACTCTACGTGCTCATTGCCCCTACTCCGACTCGTATCTCTTGTCGTCCTCTCCTCATCAATCCGTTTCTTTTACTCCTCCTCCTTCCTGCTTCGTCCCCATTCTCGTTCCCCGCCTCTCCGTCATGGTCTCTACGCCTTCTCTCTCTCGCTCTCTCTCTCTCTCTGTCTCTCCCTCTCTCCCTCCCTCCCTCCCTCCCTCCCTCCCTCCCTCCCCTCATCTTCTCCCTATCTCTCTCTCTTTCTCTCTCTCTCTCTCTCTAGCTTTCTCTCTTCCCTCTTTCGTACCCTCACGCTTCCGTAGCCCCTCTTGGCTCAAGTTGGCTCTTTCTTGCCATCATGCCAGCCTCGTCGGAGACGGCGCTCGATAAGAAGCGCACCGCAAACAGGAACCGAGCACGGGTCAGGGCGGTAAAGAACTTCCTCAACAAGCCTTGGGTGAGGCAGTCCTTGAAAGACGCGGTGAAAGAGTGCAAGCAGCAGGCGCAGAAGACCCTCGGCGATGCTTTGGCCGCCGCCTCCATGCGCACGAACGCGCGCCTCGACGAGCTTTGCGAGAAGAACAGGGCGCTCAGAAGGCAGCTCTGCGCGGCCTACGCGAAGACGCGGGAGCAGGCGGACGAGCTCAAGCAGCAGCAGGACACGACGCGGCGGCTGACTCGGGAGAACGACAAGCTCGAGCAACGCAACCAGGACCTGCAGACGGAGCTCGACCAGGCCAGAGCCGCCCTGGCCACTTTCCGCTCTAAGCAGGCCCGCTTCAACCACTGGGCAACGCCCCAGGACAAGAAGCGCTGGGCTTGGCTCACCTTGGACCCCAAGAAGTGGGCCTCGAGGGGCAATTCATCCCTTCGGGATGGCTGCATGGGCGCGCAGCAAGGCGCCTACACGCACACGCGCGCGCGAGACTGCCAACGAAACACAGAAAATGCTGACGCATTGTGCCGCCTGGCCCGAGCAGCCCTCGTTCGCTCGATCCATATGGAATCGCAAGTAGCACTTGCGGAGCGAACCGCAAACTGCTTCTAAATGCGTTGTTGTGCTGGCCGCGGTAGCAAGGTAAGGGGGATCTTGAACAAGATCCCCCTTGTCGAGAGGACCCCCCTGTGGGGGCTGCTGACGACACACGGAAAATGCTGACGCACTGTGCCGCCTGGCCCGAGCAGCCCTCGTTCGCTCGATCCATATGGAATCGCAAGTAGCACTTGCGGAGCAAACCACGCGCCACTTCGAAATGCTCTGTTGTGGTGGCCGCGGTAGCAAGGTAAGGTGGATCTTGAACAAGATCCCCCTTGTCGAGAGGACCCCCCCGTGGGGGCTGCTGACGACACGCAGAAAATGCCGACGCATTGTGCCGCCTGGCCAGAGCAGCCCCCGTTCGCTCGATCCGTATGAAATTGCGCGCAGTTGTTGCGGGGCGAACCGCGGGCCGTCCCGAAATGCTATGCCGTGCTGGCCGCAATAGCCATGTAGGGGGATCTTGAACAAGATCCCCCTTGTCGGGGGGGCCCCCGCTGGGCTGCTGACGGCGCGCAGAACATGCTGACGCATTGTGCCGCCTGGCCGGAGCAGCTCTCGTTCGCTCGATCCGTATGTAACGCGCGTAGTACTTGCGGAGCGAACCGCAAACTGCTTCGAAATGCGTTGTTGTGCTGGCCGCGGTAGCCAGGTAGGGGGATCTTGAATGAGATCCCCTTTGTCAAGGGCCCCCCCCCTCCCGCGGGGCCGTTAACGAAATACAGGACATGCTGACGCATTGCGCCGCCAGGCTGCAGCAGCCCCCGTTCGCTCGATCCGCATGATATCGCGTGCAGTAGTCGCGGGGCAGACCGCGGAAACAATAATACTAATAAAACACAAACACAAAGACACACACACACACGCACACACGCACACGCACATACAAACACACACACACACACATACACACGCGCACACTCACGCACGCGCGCGCACGAATCGACATGTTGGTTGCGGCGACCGTGGCAGCCAGGTAGGGGGGCCCTGAACAATATCCCCCTTCTGGATCTTGAATATGACATCCTTGTGCGTGGAGCATGGTTTCCGATGGGGGCGCAGGGGGGCCCCGGGATGGGCCCAGGAGGAGGCCCGAGAGGGGGCGCAGGAGGGGATCATGGAGGGAGCCCAGCAACGGACCTATTAAGAGAACTCCAGAGAGGACTCGGGGGGCGACCCAGAGAGAGACCCGGTCAGAAAGTAACGGTGAGAAGTGGCCGTGCAGTTTTTCGAGCGCCCACTGTATTCCATAGCTGTTTCGGTTCGACCTGCCAGGGCCATTCCGCTATCTCGCATCACCGCGTTCGAGACGAGAGACTGTCTCGCCAATGGGCGCCGCGCAGATCCAGGCGTTCCTCGCGACAGTCGAGAAGAACGAGCCGACCTCGCTCGAAAGGGAGTGGTGCGAGCAGCTCACAGTGCCTATTTGCGCCTACGACGACCACGCGGCGGAGCTCATGAGCCGCGCGTGGGAGCCAACAACTCTCATGAAGCCCGATGTGCTGCACGACCATATTTTGTACAGGGTGGTTCGCGACGTAGTCGTTTATGCTAGCTGCGATGAATGGACCACCGCCGGCGCCGCGACGAAAGATGCCATATTGGTCGCCACCGGCCCGCCGATCCTCGTCCAGGACTCGCACTGCATGATCCCGCTCGAGGGTGGCGGCGCCGTCGAGCGGAAGCACGTGGTTCCCGCGGCCCCGCCAGACCTTCAGCTCAACCCTGACATGACCGTGACCTTCATCGACGTCGGCAAGCGGCGCCGCCGGGTGCACTTCTTCAAATTCTGTTTGAAGTTCCTGTGCTGGTGGGCGGCCCATTTCCCCGCCGGCGTCGAGGGCGATCATTTCTCGGAGTGGCATCAGTGCAGCGACGGCGAGGCGCAGTGCGTCGACGACTACTCGTGGGCGCAGTGGGCGCTGTATGTGAAGTACAGGAAGGGAGATTATGCCTGCGCTCAGGACATGCTCCCAGACATAATGAAAATGGAGCGCTCTGACAGCGGCCACCGCGCCGCCCTTTTGCATGCCTTATTATTTCTACCAGAAGCCCCCAGCATTGAAGTCCCTGGCGGCCCACTCCCTGGAGTCGACGACCTCAGCACTTTCAACTCTGTTGTGCATTCCCCGCTGGAGGCGGGGCCATTGCTAAGTCGCACTCCGCCTTCAAGCATAGAGTCTTCACATATATCCTGCAGACTGAGATCGCCGGCGGCATCGCGGACAAGGTTTGGCGGCGGCGGCGCGAGATGGAGGCGCGCGGGGGCGCCGTCGTGCACGGCGTCGTCGACGACGGCGACGTCGACGGCTTCGAGCCGTACGTCGGCCGTTCGCTCCCGCGCGGCGGCTTCCAGTTCGTCGCCCAGCGGTGCGTGTCGTCTGCTGGGGCTGCCGCTGAGGAGCCGTGCGACGCTGCGCCCCTCTCTCCCGCGCCCGTCGTCGCCCTCGCGCCTGGCCCCATGCCCGCGCCGACTGGCGACCGCGAAGCGGCGCAGCTTGCGCTCTACATCAGAACCCGGCAGGGCCACTGTCCGACGGATGACAGATTTATTCGGAGTGTCGAGCGACTCCAATATGAACATGACGAGCCAGATGCCCAGTATCTTCGCGATCTCCTGCTGATGCGACCGCAGCCGGCGATCATTGTCCAGAGCATTATCCCGCAGTCACCAGATGGGGGGCCATTCGAGTCAAGACCGCCGTCCCCGCTGTTTAATCGGTGTTCCCTGCGTCGCCATCTCTGGAACCACGGCGCAGATCATCTGGCCACCGCAGCGCTGGGGCGACGCATGATCATGGACGCGGCGCCCTTGCACTTCGCCGGGCCGCTGTCCGCCGACGTTGGCGCGGCGCTCTTCGAACCCTATGTCGGGGAGCGCCTTCCCGGCCCTGGCTTCTCCTTCGAAGTGAGCGCGTCTGACGTGTTCGCCACGCGCTCACTGGCGCCCGCTGACGGCCTCGCCAGCGGCTTGGGGATCGACTCGTGGAACTTCTTGGACGCGCTGGAGCAGTTGGCGGAGACGCTGCGATGCCGCGACCAAGTCGGCGGACGTCTACCGGGCGGGACGCCGCCGGCGCCGGCGAGCCCGTACTCCGCGCAGTTGGGGAGGCAGATCTTGGACACGGAGGTGCCGCCGACGCAAATTTGCATCGCGGGCGCAGACACCTTGGATCTCGACTCAGAATTGTCGCAGCTCATGGATGACGATTCAGGGCTGACGCTTTTCCCGACCGCCGTCGAGCGCAATTCTGGGTGCCCACCCTTCCAAGGACAACGCGCATCAATGTGCCGCTGGACTGCAGTCGGCGTTCCCGCCGCCCAGCACCGCGTCTCCACATCGGAGAGCGGCGCTCTCGCAGTCGCTTCCAGATTGTACGAACCGCCGGCAGGCGTCGAGCACTTCTCGTGGGGCGCAGAAGGCGGCGTTGATCTGGGAGACTTCACGTTCGAGGCTGGCTCATACGCCGTGGTTAAAAGCCATGGCGAAGACTTCTTGAGAGGGATCATGGCGCCCCCCGCGCGATTTGGCGAGGCGAGCGGCCACGCGGGCCTGGCGCACGGCGCGCCAGTGCAGTTCGCCGGCGAAATCAGAATAGACGGGGACGCAATGCTGCTAGCTTGGAATTTGATGTCGGGGACATATGCAATCCCGCACGAATTTGCTGAGCAGTCGGGGCTCCCTGTGCACATGTACTGGCGATTTTACACAGCTCATGAACTCGCGACCACGGGCGCCCCGCCGACTGGCGCACATGTTCGAGCTCTTCGCGGAGGCAGTTACCTTTTCAAGCACGTTGCCACCCGCGGCCCAGATGACGACGAATCTGAGCAACCTCGCAAGAAGGCAAGGCCAGCCGATCCCTTGGAGATGTGGGAGGCGAAAGAATATCAAGAATTCCAGCGGATCGGCGATGAAATCGCGATCGAGGAGGAGGTAGAGCCCAAACCCGAAACCATGATGGACATCACTAGGGCGTGGCTGGTCCGCTTGGAGGAGGAAGTGAAAGGGTGGGTGACCCAGCCAAGCCAGCCTTTGCACGATGCCCTTGTCGTGGTCGCCCTCCACGTGGCCATGAACATTCAGTGGGATCCGTTCAGCGATCTCATTGTGGCCCGCCTGGCCGCCTCAATTCTGGATCATAAGATTGTGGCGCACCCTGATGCGGTGTGCTCCTACAGCAATGGTGCCTACTCTCGACTGCAAGAGCTGCCACCGGGATGCATCACTTACATCGGCGAGACGCTCATCAGGGCACAGTGCATTTTCCAATCAATGGCTGCCGAGCTGGCGGCGCCTGCCAGAACAGGGGAAGGCGTTTTTCATGTGTAAAGAACTCCGATCTCAATGCCCTGGGCCAGAAGCAGACTAAGTTGAAGCGAGAGCTCCTGTACAAGGCAGAGGAAAAGCCCGGCAATGCGCGGTGGGCCTGCGCCGGCGAGGCGACGGGGTCGCTGCGCACAGCGATGACCGACCGGAAGAGGTCCAAGGCCATATTAGATTTAGTTGGAAAGTGGTTCGCCGGCGATTTCCCGCCGCCGAATGCACTCGTGAATACCGAGGACAAGACGATTCGCTGGGTTTCCGGCCCGTTGCAGCCCGTGGCGAAGAGTCCAGACAATAAGTGTTACATACATCTGCCCGTGCGCCTCTCGTGGAAGCCTTCAGACAGTGCGCTGGTGAAGCTGCGCGCGTTCCTGCGCGCTGCGTTCGCTGGCCGTGACGACGCGAGAATAGTCGATGGAAGCATGGGGGTCTTGGCGCTTGATGGCCAGCCTCTCCCGCATAAGATGATCATTTTTCTGTCGAACGGGGGGGCGGCAAGTCAGCCAAGTCCAAGCTGCGCGCGAATGTTTTCGGCGGCTCGCGCCGCTTCGCAGGGTCCAACGTCTTCCAGCAGGAGGGGGAATTCCGCAAGCAGGGGTGCCAGTTTGCCCAGGCGAAGTGCATAACGATTCAGGAGTGTCAGGCTGGAAAGTTCTTACAAGAGAGCGACTTCAAGAACTTCGTCAGCGGCGGGTACTCACCTTGCAGGCCCAATGTCGGCATTGAGACTGTATATATATATATATATATATATATATATATATATATAAAAGTGGCCTTGCTGCGCGAAGTACTGGGAGTTGAACCCGAACTTGCCAGCCATCAACGGCGACCCGAACGACATAAAGTCGCTGTGGTCCTTTGTGAGGAGGCTGATTGTCTCGGTGCTTGAAAGCGAGTTCATCACCGGCAGCGATGGCACGAGCGTCGAAGATCGCATATTCGTCGAAGACCCAAGTTTGGAGTCTTTCCTGGAAGGGCAAGAAGCTCGCTACGCATATGTGATTTTTTTCTTACTCCCGCGCAGGATCAAGTATGCGCGCGAGGAGCTGTTGAATAACATCATGCAACTGAGCGAGCGCACCATGCGGGGCACGCTGCAGTTCGCGCAGAAGATGGCAAACGGCGGGCTGCGCGACGTCGAGCCGCAGCAGGAGGGCGCCGTCGCCGGGAAGCCCGACAAACCAAGTCGGAGCAAAAGTGAATTCCTCGTTTGCCAAGTTCACGAGGAATCCGCAGGTCTTACAAAGATCACGGACACCTTCGTGCAAAGGCTGAATTGCATACCTTGCCTCTGCGCGAAGGAGAGCAAGCAAGGGAAGGCCACTCGTATTCAGAACTTCCGATGCGCGGTCGAGGACTTCCCATGCTTGTTTACGCCTTTAGCAGATAAGGGCTTCGCGCGCTTGAACATCGATCTCCAGAAGTTCAACGATACCATGGACAAGTACGGCCACTCCTGCTTTGGTTGCTGGCCTGAATGGGGATCCGTCTGGGATGCCCGAAGCAACGTGCAGCGTCTGTTCTACGACGGCGCTGAGCCGGATAACGAAGAGGCTTCCCTTGAGAGAGACGAGAGCGTCGACGTTGAGATCGTAAACATGCTGGAGGTTGTAGACTTAGCTGGCTTGCGTAGATATGCAGCCCACCAGGTGGACCGCAGGCAGGAATGCGTCGATGCGTACATTGATCGGCTCGAACGAGAAGGTCAGAAACAGGGTAACTACGTGACGTTGCTTGTTCAGTACTATCGTAAACATGGGCTCCCGGGTCGCCTGTGCGCCATTGGGCCGTCCTTGCAGAAGCAGACCAAGGATGCTCGCGCGGCTGCGATGGATGGCATTACATATGCACTGGATGCATGTAATTGTTTCCCGTCGCTCCTCGTGGAAATTCTGGAGCGCGACCCCCGAGGCGCGAGGGTCGCGGGGAACGCGCGCGGCGGGCGCGGAGTGTCGATGCGCGAGTCCGCTCGAGGCAACCGCTGCCGCCGAATTCGCATTGTCGAATTCGGAGGCTCGGCTTTCCTTGCGCTCCTGGGATATTCTATTTCATGATAGTTTGTTGTTGCGTTGCCGCGCCTTGTGTGCGGGGCCCAAAATCTGTTGTCTGGACTCGCGCCCAGGCGCTCGCGTCCGCCGTGTGCGCTCCCTTCGAAGGTCCCCCTTACATCGCTCAAGAGGTTCGCCAGGCATTATACCGAGTGGCGTGATTTCATGAGAGATTACCTGGGCGTGGACGCGGCCGATGCAAAGAAATCAATATCGAGAATTTTCTGTTTGGGGTTGCCGACGAGCGACTTGCCGTTTCTATGGTCGCTCGCGTCGGACGTCGCGCAGGCTGCGCACTTGCTAATGCAGATGCCAGACAACAGACATCTGCAGGACATGGTCGGTGACCGGAAGCACCCACGAGCAACTAGGTTCTTCTATGCAGTGTCAAAGTCCGAAGGCCAGTTGCTAGCCCGGGTCACTGATGGCATCGTCAATCTTGGTTGGAGGCCATCCGCCTTGTTGTTTGACGAATTGTACTTTCAGTGCCCTGCGCCTCCCGACATCGCGGAGGAGGCGGTTGGCGACGTGTGCGAAACGTTCGGCCGTGCATTCAGAGTGGCGCAGCCGCAGGTTACCCCGGCATTCGGGTACGTCTGTTTTGTGTTGCGTCTTGGAACACTTGGGGGAACTCCGGAGCGCTACCCTGGCTCGCAACAATGCATGTATGATTCGCTCCGTTACATCGGTTGGGGCTCTCCGACCGCTACCCCCTTGGAGGGCCCGCGTGCTGTTCGCGAGTTCAACGCGCAGCAGACGCGCAGTCGCGAGTGCGAGTTGCGGGTTTATTGCCTTCGGCATGTGGCGATTGAGGACACGCAGGTTTTCACGACTTACCAATCCGCCCCCGCCCTACCCGAAGGTCCCAGTCCACCACTCATTTCCAGCGTGGGGGCGTTCAGGGATATCGAAAAAACGCAGTGGAACCCGGGTCCCCCACCCCGAAATTTTGGACTTCGGGTTGGGCGAAGGTGGTCTGGTAATAAATCTGGTTTTATTATCTGCAGCAGCTCTGGAGGACCGCAAGTTTCTCTGCTGGCAACCGCATGCAGTAGACACTGGCCACTTCTTCGCTGTTATGGTTCGTGGGAACGGCTCGCTCTCAGTAATGGGCAGTTCAGTCGGCCAGCAGATCGACGTGCCGCCGCATGAATTCCGGATGGCCTGGCTCCGGGTGTCTCGCCTGGTGTTTTTCGAATTGGATATCTTGCCAGCGGAGGATCAGCCTGCTATAGGCGACGATGCATATGACCTTGCTGGCGGTGGAGCTGGGGCGCCGAAAAAGGGAAAGCGCCGAATGCATGCGCGGCCGAAGAAACTGGACAAAAAGAAGTGGTCTGCTCTGTGGAGAAGAACGCCTTACGCGAGACACGGAAAATCGCATCGTGGCCAAATCTCCACGGCGAAGTGGTCATGCAGCGCGAAGCAACTCCAGAGCTTCAGCGATAGGCAGATCGTAGTGAAGATGACGGCAGCCGGCTTCCTGAAGGACTGGTCGCAACATGTTTGCCCTCATTGCGGCGAGGGCCAGGCGCTGGCGGCTTGAATCCCGCCCCGGGTCACGATGGCGCAATGATAAAACAAGTTGACGTTGAGTGTGAACTTTTTTTAAATCCAGGGAACTTTTGACGGGGTCCGCGCCGTGGCCAGGGCCAGGTTTCGAGCCCTTGGGGGCGTCGGAACTCCAGCGCAGGGCATGTGGAACATGGGCGTGCCGCTGCTGCAGAAAGTCGTGCCACAAATGCATTCTGCCCCATGCCTGCCACCCTGTGCTGTCGGCCGCTTGGGGCAGAGACTATCGGAATTTGAAGGGCCAGATTATCATTCTCTTCGGGCTGGTGGCGGGGCTTACGACGGCCCAGAACCATCTGCTCTGGGAGACCAGCAGGGACTTCGTGGCGAACATGTCCAGCAAGCTTGACCTGGCCCGGCAAAAAATCGCCCTGCGCGAAGAGATGAAGATCAAGTTCGGCGACCCCCTCCAGGAGCAGTGGCGGGACGTAGAGGCAGACGAGGTTGACCTCGGCAAGGAACAGGTCGGCGACAAGATGAAGTGGCATCAGTGGGCCGGCATTGTGGAGCGCGGCCGGCCAGAATCCTTAGTTATCTTCAAAACGTCGCCGAAGCTGACGAAGCCGCGCGCGCCTGGCCCTGGCCCCATCACGAAGAAGGACTGGGCGCCGATGGCAAAAAAACACCTCAAAGGGCGCAAGGTCTTGCTGCACACAGACGGCGCGCGGGCCTACAAGATCGGAATGAATCGGAAAAGCAAGCTCGACGGCGTGGTGCACGACTACGTCGTGCACAAGCTGAAGAAGCAGGGGCCAAGCAACAAACTCAAGGCGACGTACGTCCAGCTGTTTTCCCACTGCGTCGAAGGAAAAGCCGTCCACGCCAAAGGGGGAACGCAGATTATCGATCGGTGCTGGAGGTGTCTGCGAAAGCACGTGGGAACGCGCTCTTCCACCGTGTCAGGCACCAGGAAATGCGATGCTAGAGTGCGCGCTGCGCAATGGCATTACTGGCACATGGGCTCTGACCTCTGGGCGAAGACAGGCGATATGTTCAGGGCGTTGCTGTGAGATTCTGATCGTTGCCTCGCATACTTGCGCAGTGCCCTTACTGGCTGTTGCTTGCCGCGCGCTTGCGGCGATCTTGCCTTGCCTCGAAAAGCAGATTCTCACATCATTAGCGATCGCGTCTCACGCGTAGAACCACTCCATGAGAATATGCAACATGATTGACATGGCGCGACCAACAAACGTACTTCTCTTATGCGATGTATATAAAGTGAGTCCTATTGTCCGGCCTTCAGGTGCAATCCTTTTATCGGGAATTGTAGAAATATTTGTGTTGCGTAAGCAGCAATTGAGATCTGTTGTGCAGACTTACAATTTGAATCCTTTGGTGCGGATCTCAAATAGAATCCTTTTGTGGGGACTTACAATTTGATTCCTACTATGTAGGAATCGATTAAAATCTGTTTGTGCAGGCATATAAATTGAATCCTTTTGTGTGGCTCTCAAAAAAAATCTTTTTGCGGGGCGCTACACATTGATTCCTATTGTGTAGGATACAATATAAATCTTTTTGTACAGACTTACAAATTGATTTCTATTGCGCGGCCTTCAAATATAATTCATTTGTGCCTGCCTCCAGAGGGAGGGGAGGGAGGCGGGCTGGCCGGCGAAAAAAACAAAAAAGACAAAGCCTGGAGCTCCCCATATGTGCATCTACTCGCATGGACCTGTCCGCCGTGAATGTCTAGGCGCAAGAGCTTTCGATTATTAACGGGTTTCAGTTGTGACGGTCTGGACATCAATCTAACTGCGAATGAATTGGAGTGTGAATGAGCCTCAGTAGTACGAGCGCGTCTCTGTGCATGAGCCTGGGGCCTCCTGGGGCCTCCTGAAACCTACTGGGGCTTCCTGGGGTCTCCAGGAGCCTCTTGGGACCTCCTGGGACCTCCTAGGAAGGTTTCGTGCCCCAGGAGAGGCGCAATCTATAGCAACAGACGTACATAAAACATTGCGGATTAGAGCCACAGGAGAAGGGCAATCTATAGGAACACGCGTAAAACACCAAGGACTCGTGCCCCAGGAGAGGCCCAATACATAGGAACATGAGTAAAACATTTAGGATTGTGTACACAGGAGAAGGACCATCTATAGAAACATACGTAGAACATCAAAGAATCGTGCTCCAGGTGAGGCCCAATCGATAGGAGCATACGTAAAACACATGGGATTGGAGCCACTCCTGTTGCCTTCTGAGGCCTCCTGCTCCTGGGGCCTCTCGGGGCCTCCTGTTGCCTTCCGAGGCCTCCTGGCGCTTCCTGTTGCCTCCTGGGGCCTCCTGTGGTTTCCTGAAGCCTTCTGGAGCTTCCTGGGGCCTCCTGGAGCCTCTTGGGACATCCTGTGGCCTCTTGAGTCTTTCTGTGGCCTCCTGATGCCTCCTGGGACCTCATGTGGTCTCCTGGGCCTCCTGGAGCCTGTTGGAGCCTCCTGTGGCATCCTGAGAAGAATCTGCGCCCACGAGCCTGGCCACCAAAACTAGCAAACCGATCGAGACATCCTCAAAATCTGGCCCACCTGGGGGGTGAAAATGAGCGCCTCGCTCGAGACATCCTCCAAATCTGCTCCGAAAGCGAAGGATGTTGGGCACAGAAACAGGCAAACCGCCTGAGACATCCCCACAAAATGGCCGCGAACGAGCCCGTGCAACCACCCCTGGCGGCTCCCCTTAGGGGTGCTGAAATGAGCGCCTCGCTCGAGACATCCTCCAAATCTGCTCCGAAAGCGAAGGATGTTGGGCACAGAAACAGGCAAACCGCCTGAGACATCCCCACAAAATGGCCGCGAACGAGCCCGTGCAACCACCCCTGGCGGCTCCCCTTAGGGGTGCTGAAATGAGCGCCTCGCTCGAGACATCCTCCAAATCTGCTCCGAAAGCGAAGGATGTTGGGCACAGAAACAGGCAAACCGCCTGAGACATCCCCACAAAATGGCCGCGAACGAGCCCGTGCAACCACCCCTGGCGGCTCCCCTTAGGGGTGCTGAAATGAGCGCCTCGCTCGAGACATCCTCCAAATCTGCTCCGAAAGCGAAGGATGTTGGGCACAGAAACAGGCAAACCGCCTGAGACATCCCCACAAAATGGCCGCGAACGAGCCCGTGCAACCACCCCTGGCGGCTCCCCTTAGGGGTGCTGAAATGAGCGCCTCGCTCGAGACATCCTCCAAATCTGCTCCGAAAGCGAAGGATGTTGGGCACAGAAACAGGCAAACCGCCTGAGACATCCCCACAAAATGGCCGCGAACGAGCCCGTGCAACCACCCCTGGCGGCTCCCCTTAGGGGTGCTGAAATGAGCGCCTCGCTCGAGACATCCTCCAAATCTGCTCCGAAAGCGAAGGATGTTGGGCACAGAAACAGGCAAACCGCCTGAGACATCCCCACAAAATGGCCGCGAACGAGCCCGTGCAACCACCCCTGGCGGCTCCCCTTAGGGGTGCTGAGTATGAGTAAGTCTGTGTATGAGTAAGTCTGTGTATGAGTAAGTCTGGGTATGAGTAGGTCTGTGTATGAGAAAGTCTGTGTATGTGTACGTCTGGGTATGAGTAAGTCTGAGTATGACTAATACTGTGTATGAGTAAGTCTGGGTATGAGTGAGTCTGTGTATGAGTACGGCTGGGTGTGAGTAAGTCTGTGTATGAATAGGTCTGTGTATGAGCATGTCTAAGTGTGAGTAAGTCTGAGTATGAGTAGGTCTGAGTATGAGTAAGTCTGAGTATGAGTAAGTCTGTGTATGAACAGCTGAGTATGAGTAAGCCCGACAGGAGGGGAGGAGAAAAGAGGAGGAGGAAAGAGGAGTAGGAGGCGTCCAAGTAATAACAGGAACCCCATCTTAGGATATGGGGAAAAAGACAACTTGGAGGACCAAAAACGCTGTGTATTGAATTGTAAAGTGGTTTTAAAGTGTAAACCCAAACAGATAAAACAAAAACCAACTTGGAAGCAAGGAAAACCTGTGTTTTCACAGAAGTTGCGCAATTACAAATTGAATCCTTTTGTGGGGCTCTCAAATAAAATCCTTTTGTGGGGGATTACAAATTGATTCCTATTGTGTGCAAATCCATTTAAATCCTTTTGTGCACACTCACAAATTGAATCCTTTTGTGTGGCTCTCAAAAAAATCCCTTTGTGGGGCACTACATATTGATTCCTATTGTGTAGGATACAATAGAAATCCTTTTGTGCAGACTTACAAATTGATTCCTATTGCGCGGCCTTCAAATAGAATTCATGTGCGCCTGCCTCCAGAGGGAGGGGAGGGAGGCGGGCTGGCCGGCGAACAAAAAAACAACAACTTGGAGGACCGAAAACGCTGTGTTTTTAATTGTAAAGTGGTTTTTAATTGTAAACCCAAAAAGACAAAAAAGCCAACTTGGGAGCAATGAAAACCTGTGCTTTCATAGTGTTTGCGCATTTACAGATTGAATCCTTTTGTGTGGCTCTCAAATAAAATCCTTTTGTGGGGAATTACACATTAATTTCTATTGTGTAGAGATCAATTGAAATCCTTCTGTGCCGACTTACAATTTGATTTCTATTGTGTGGTCCGCCCGCCCCCCTCCTCTCCCCCTGGAGGCCGGCGTAAAGGAATTCTTTTTGAAGGTCGCACAATAGGAATCAAACTGTAAGTCCGCACAAAAGGATTTCAATTGATTCCTATATTATAGGAATCAATTTGTAATTCCCCACAAAAGGATTTTATTTAAGAGCCACACAAAAGGATTCAATTTGTGAGTCTGCGCAAAAAGATTTCAATTGATGTCTACACAATAGGAATCAATTTGTAATTCCCCACAAAAAAAATTTTGAGAGCCACACAGAAGGATTCAATTTGTAATTGCGCAAACACTGTGAAAACACAGATCTTCCTTGCTCTCCATTTTTTGTGTGTGGTCTTTTTGGGTTTACAATGAAAAACCACTTTACAATTAAAAACGCAGCGTTTTTGGTCCTCCAAGTTGTATGTTTTTTTTGTTGTTGTCTTTTTCGCCGGCCAGCGCCCCTCCCCCCCCATCTTCTGGAAGCAGGCACAAATTTTATTTGAAGGCCGCACAATAGGAATCAATTTGTAAGTCTGCACAAAGGATTTCTATTGTATCCTGCGCAATAGGAGTCAATCTGAAGTGCCCCACAAAGGGATTTTATTTGAGAGCCACACAAAAGGATTCAATTTGTGAGTCTGCACAAAAGGATATAAATGGATTTCTACACAATAGGAATCAATTTGTAATCCCCCACAACAACATTTTATTTGAGAGCCACACAAAAGGATTCAATTTGTAATTGCGCAAACACTGTGAAAACACAAGTTTTCCTTGCTTCAATTTTTTTTTTTTTTTTTTTTTTTTTTTTTTTTTTTTGGGTTTACAATGAAAAACCAGTTTACAATTTAAACACAGCGTTTTGGGTTCTCCAAGTTTTTTTTTGTTTTTTTTTTTTGTGTGTTTTTCGTCTGCCAAGCCCACCCCCCTCCTGAGTCAGGCACAAAGGAATTCTCTTTGAAACCCACGCTAGGAATCAACTTGTAAGTCTATGCACAACGATTTCAAGTGTATCTTACACTATACGAATCAATATGTAGATCCACACAAGTCGATTCCATTTGAATTCTGTCAAAAAGAACCGATTTAGTAAGATCGCACCAGGATTTGTGTATACCACACATGATGACTGAGTTCGCACGCTCTTACTGCCCGTATAAAAACGACGCAAGGTGGATCACAGGAGCGGCCCCTACCATACATATATATATATATGTGTATATATATATATACACACACCCATAACATGACAGCGAACGCCGTCGCAACCTGGAATGTACAGCTCGGTAAAGGTCAGGTGAAGGTACACATCCTGGCCCCTAAGAGGCCCATCGATGGGGGCAGGATATCAGCACAGGGCAAGCATCATCCTTCGTTGCATCGCGCGAGAAACTCTGCTTGCAAAGCCCACTCAGTGCGATTCCCCGCTGCGCGGGCCCACTGCCGCACCCCCGCCTGCGCTGCGTGAT